TGTTGCAACCCTCCCTTCACTATGACAGAAAACACCTTTCTAAAATGAACATTTAAATTAAATATTCTGTAGTCCCTTGTCACTTAAGTGTGGTCCTGGGACCAGCCACATTAGCATTACCTGAGATCTATTTAGATATGCTGGTTTGATATCTTATTCTGGGTGATGCTTACATGAGTGTATATACAGGTCAAAATTCACCAAGCTGTACACTAAGATTTGTGCATTTCAGTGTACCTCAATAAAAATTCATGACAAAAAAGAAATGCTGAATCCTATCCCCACCCTACGTAAACCTCCTGAATCAGAATCAGTATTTGAACATCCTCAAGTGACTTGTGTGCGCAGTAAACTTTGAAAAGCACTTTTGTAGGCAAACTTGCTCCAATTATGCCCTCTAGAAATGACCACTTTTTACATTATGACTTATTTTTTACTTATCAGTACTTCGGTCTCTGTAATAGGGAAGTCTTTTTGTTCTTTACTACTTACTCTCTCCTGAGAGTCCAGGATTCCAACTCTAGAATGATATCTAGTACCATCTTTCTGAATCTTTCCCTCTTGTGATCACTTGCCTATAAGAGAAAGCTAATATATTAAAGTCCTGTGGTGTTAGAGGTTGCAAAGAGCCTGAATGGTTACTTCTTACAAGTCATTATGTGCTTTCTGACAAGGCACCTTTGGAGACAATGACTAGCATATAAGAAGCACTTGAATGATAAGAATTTCAGACACAACCATATATCAGTGGCAGGAGATAGTCTTCTGTGTCCATATTTTCTATGTATAAAGCCAGGTCTTTGTCATATAAATGGTCTCAGTAGAAATTTCAACACAGATGTTTTTTAGCACCTGTGTATGAAGTAGGAAATGTCTATAGTTAAGAGAAAACCCAGGCTTACCATGTCTTAGAGCTTTAAAAACTCAACTGTTATTATCTCTGCCCTGACCTGAATGATATCAGAAGACTCAGTGACCATCTCCTAACTCTTGCAGAATAGGCTGAAAGCAATAAATTTGACTAATTTAATTTTGTTTTGCCAACTCACAAAACAAATTGGCTCATAACTGAGCATGAAGTGTAGTTATAGACATATGGTTTAGTAAATGCAGGATTCAATTAAAGTTAGATTTAAAATGCTGCTCATCAAAATAATTGGCATTGTAAAGTTTATCAGAGAAATGTCATTGACAATGTATCTTCCTAGAAAAAATTCCAGTTTCTTGGTTCTACCCTATTTCCTTAGGTGTTTAAGTTACTATTTTGTCAGTGACATTTTTTTATATTAAGTAAAGCGATTCATAAAGAGGATAGGGATTCCAGTGCTAGGCAGTTGAATCTAGCTAAAATTATGTTTACTAGAGTTTGTCTTTGCCAACACCTACCTCTTTTTTTTAATTTCCAGCTTTATTAAACCATAGTTGAAAAATATTGCCATTGCTTTTGATATCTCCCTTCTTTCTCTGTATTTCATTTCCCATGAAATCCTTTAATCTACTACGTCAAAGTAACTTTCACAAAAATGATAAAAGTGAGAGGCTTGGATTAAGGTCGACCTTACCAAGTGCCTTCAAATAAGTTTCCATTCACAGTCAGACCATCTGCTACAAAATACTACAAGAGAAGAATATATATTCATAAACTTTAAATGCTTTGTGCAAGGTTTTCACTTTCATTCTATGCACAAATTGGAAATATAATCTCTCTCCCTCTCTGTATGTGTATACACATACACACACTTGTGTCTTTTTTTCTAGGCTATATGCTATTGGTGGATGTGATGGACGTTCCTGCTTCAAATCAATGGAATACTTTGACCCACATACTGACAAATGGAGTATATGCGCTTCAATGTCTAAAAGACGTGGATGTGTGGGAGCTGCAACATACAATGGATTCTTATATGTTGTTGGGGGTCACAATGCCCCTGCTTCTAACCAATGCACCAGGCTTCCTAACCTTGTGGAATAGTAAAATGTTTCTATTTACTTTTGCATGTATTTATTTGTTGTTTTTCTTTTTTTCAGAAATGAGAAAAATTTTTAGATTTCCAGATAAGTGATAATCCTTTCGAGGGACTAAACCTTTATAAAATTCCACACGTACTCCTGGGCTCAAAATATTTTGAGGAAATCCTCCTTAAGTGTTTCAGATCCATCATTAAGAAATATATTAAAAGAATATGCTGTTTTGCAGAATCACAGAACTCAAGAATGGACTAATAGTTACCAAAGGGAAAGGGACTGGGGAGGATGGGAGGGAATGGAGGGATAAGGGTGGGGAAAAAGAAAGAGGGCATTACGATTAGCATGTATAGTGCGGGGGCGGGTACGGTGAGGGCTGTGCAACACAGAGAAGACAACTAGTGATTTTACAGCATCTTACTATGCAGATGGACATTGACTGGGAAGAGGTATGTGGGGGGGACTTGGTGAAAGGGGGAGCCTAGTAACCATAATGTTCTTCATGTAATTGTAGATGAATGATACCAAAAAAAAAAAAGAATATGCTGCTTTGTTTGATAGTCAACTTTTACAATAATAAGACAGAAGGTAATAATGAAGAAATTTTATGGCCAGCTGTATCACTCAACCCATTCACCAGCTCAATTAAAAATACCTTTATTGTTTCAAAAATCAAATCGATCTTCAAAAGAAGAAGACTTACCACCACAAAATATACAGAAAGAATTCCCAAAGAGAGGCATTATGTTCTGAACAATGACTTTATTGTGTTAAGTATTTCATTTTCCATGGGTAACATTTTTGAATGGGGAACACTTATTTGTATGAATAAAGTGTGACATGTTTAAATTAAGTCAATCCAATGACTTTGCAGTTATACCATTCATACTCCTTTTCAAGATAGAAAAATATGCAAATATAATAATTAAATAATATTAACTAAGAACAAATGAGAAATTTACAGTCAGTAAGGTTGTCAAAATTCAAAAGACAGAGATCAGTGTGGGATGGTGTCCTCAAGGGAAATTCATGCAAGAGGTGAAATTTGTAATTTGTATGCACACAAACAAATGGAGGGAATTTCAGGGAGAGGAAAAAGCACAGTCAAAACTGTGGAAATAAAGGAGAAAGCTTTGTAGATAAGAGCAGAGCTTTTAGGTTGAAACGTCGCTTGGAAATTCAAGTAGGATAAACCTAGAGAGACCCACACTGAGACAGTGTAAGCAAACTGTGAACATCAAAACCAAAGAGACAGTCTTGAAAACAGCATGAGAAAAACAATTTGTGACTTAGAAGAAGGGGTTGGTGCAGTATGAAGAAAACCAACTGATAGAGCCTGGAGAAAAGCCAATTCTTAAGAACACTAAGAGATTATTCTTTTCAAATAATGAATTGCACCAATCAAGGGAAGTCTAAGTTCCAATCCCAAGACTACTATTTACAAGTTATGTGAACTTGATCCTGTTACTTTATATCTCTAAACATCAGTTTCTTTATGTGAAAAATGGGAATGATTGTAATATCAACCTCCTTGGGAACAAGATAATCAATGTTACTGTACTTAGTACATTTCCTGGCACCCATAAAGTACTCAGTAGAAGTTAGTTCATGATAGTGTTTCTGTTTGTATTATTTTTGTGAACAATATTGTTGTTACTACTATCATTATCCCCTTATTAGCATTTTCCTTCAAGAAACCTTGAGAAAATGGCTAGTGCTAAAGTTAATTTTCAGAAAGTTAGGACTTTCATACAAATATAAAATTTACACGTGTCAAGGATTTTATGTGATTATTAATGAAGCAAGCCCATAAGATGCTAAAACCAATTCAAAGAGTCTTTGAAGAAAAGGTATATAGATAATTTAGGAATGCTGAAAAAACTTGTTAATAGATGCAAATACAGTTAGTATCCTATAGGGAGTAAAATGTAGTCTTTGAGCATCATCATTTCTACATGGTGGAAATTAATTCTGTGTCAGGCAAAATTCATTTGTATTGTTACATACAAGAATCACAAGAAAATGCAGTTTTCTACACATCAACCTCTACATCTACAGAGTTGTAAAATACCTTTGTCCGTAGAAAGTCAATCAATGGTGCATCTTCTGTGGAATCAGATAATCCTCATTTCCATGTCTTAGAAAATTTTTATTTTCTTTTTCATTTTTTAAATTAAGGTATCTTTGATACACAATCTTCTGAAGGTTTCACATTAGCAACATTGTGGTTTCAACATTCACCTATATTATCAAGTCCCCCACACTCCCCATTGCAATTACTGTTAGACAATATTTCTAAGACCATTTTTAACTAAAAAATTGTTGGCCTCCTGAGTACCTTCAGAGTCTCATCCAATTATTTAAGATAATCATATAAATTAAAGGTTTCTAAATCTATCACATAAATTTATGTTGCTTGGCTCAAGATTCCTATTTCTATAATGTTGCTGAGAAAATTGAGGCAAATAAGTCTAGCAGATTATCCCTAATTATTTTTCTAAGTGAAAGAAAAAGTACAGGACTATTTCCCTTTGCTACAGCCTCCATTTTATTTCCACTAGAATTCAGATACTTTTATCCAAAGTAAGGAGAGACCGAAAGGCAAAAAAGAAACAAAAAGGGAGAGGCTTAATGCTATTTTAATTTGAAAGTGATATACTGGCTAATTTTTTTCAATAATTTATTTATTTATTTTTATTTTTTTGAAGAACATTATGTTTACTAGGCTCTCCCCTACCCCAAGTCTTCCCCACAAACCCCATTACAGTCACTGTCCATCAGCATAGTAAAATGTTGTAGAATCACTACTTGTCTTCTCTGTGTTGCAAAGCCCTCCCCTTTCTCCCACCCCCCATATTATACATGCTAATCATAATACCCCCTTTCTTCTTTCCCACCCTTATCCCTCCCTACCCTCCCATTCTCCCCAGTCTCTTTACCTTTGGTAACTGTTAGTCTATTCTTGGGTTCTGTGATTCTGCTGCTTTTTGTTCCTTCAGTTTTTCTTTTGTTCTTATACTCCACAGATGAGTGAAATCATTTGGTATTTGTTTTTCTCTGCTTGGCTTATTTCACTGAGCATAATACCCTCTAGCTCCTCAATTCATCATACAGTGAACAAACTAAAAGCTCAGCTCACAGTTTTTATCTGAGGAGGAAAGAAGTAAACTACACACACATCGCTCCAACTTTTCTGGGAGCTACCCAGAGGACTGGTTTAAATTTAGCCTGTATCACAGTGCTGAAGTGGTCCAGCATAACCCAGCTGACTGGGGGTTAATAAGAATGGAGAAAACAGTTTAACCAAGCACTCAATAAGTCACCATGGCCACTCTCTCAGCTAAGTGCAGAGCAAGCAGGCAAAAAACCCATAACCCAGTTTCTAGAAAAGGAAAAAGTTGGACAAAACACCCAACAATCCAACATTTCTGGGAGATGTCTGTGGAACTTCCTTTAGTCTCACTTGTCATGGAGTACTGATGGGATCTGGCATACTCCAGATGTCTGGAGGCTGCTAAGAACAAAGAGAGCAAGCTAATTGGTAAGGGTTCTCTCCTGTATGGGGCCAGTTCATGTAGAGTATGAAAGTTGGCTGTTTTGTCTAATGTGCAGGCAACAACAAACTCGAGGAAGATGAAGAAACAGGGAAATATGTTCCAAACAAAGGAACAAGACAAATCCTCAATCCCCATAGGCTTAACCTAATTAAATGAAGACATCTGATTTATCTGACAGGGTATTGAAAATAATAGTAAAAAAATGCTCACTAAAGTTAGAAGAACAATGCATGAACAGAGCAAGAATTTTAGCAAACAGACAGAAAAATTTTAAAGTGCCAAACAAATCACGAAGCTGAAGAATACAATAACTGTATTGAAAAATTCATTAGAGGGGTTCAACAACACAGTAGATAAAGCAGAAGAAAGGATGAGTGAATTGTTAGACAAGTAATTGGAAGTTACACAGAAGAGCAAAAAAAAAAAAAAAAAGAATGAAAGAGTGAGGGAAGCTAAACAAATCAATAGGACTAATATAAACATTATGGCTATCTCAGAAAGAGAAAAGACAGAAAAAGGACTAGAAATAACATTCAAAGAAATAATGACAAGTGAGATTTATATGTTATTATGTTTGGCTGGATCAACATTTAAAAATCAGTGTAATCCAGTATATCAACAGAGTAAAAAAGAGAAATGACATGATTACATCAATAGATGTAGAAAAAGCATTTGACAAAATCTACCAACAATTCATGATAAAAATACTCAGTAAACTAAGTATATAGAGTGACTTCTTCAACTTCATAAAGAGTATCTACAGAATACCTACAGTTGGCATAATACTTACTGGTGAGAAACTTGAAGATTTTCTTCTAAGATCAGGAACAAGGCAGTATGACTCCTCACACTATTGTTTTCAACATCGCACAGGAAGATCTTGTCAATCAATAGGGAAAAAAAGGAAATAAAAATTATACATATTTGGAATGAAGAAATAAATCTTTGTTGGCAGGTGACTTGATAGTCTATCTAGAAAATTTTACAGAATTGTAAAAATGCACTGAAAATAATAAGTGATTACACCAAGAGTGCAGGAAACAAGATTAATATACAAAACATGTGTCTTGCCAATGGGTTTCAGCCCCGGGTAAGTTCACTATGGATTCAGTGTGACCAAAGAAATGACAGTAAAATGTTCTTGGGGTGAAAAGGTTATACCCAACTTTATTTCCACACTGGCAGGTCAATCACTAAAATCCTGTTTACTCAGAGCGAGTCTGCATGCAGCAAGCCAGTCTCTGCCTCTGGGCCTCTCTACCCACACAGCTGTCCTCTGGGCCTCTGTCTTCAGTGCTGCCACCACTCTAGCCTCTGCTCTTCTGCAGCCTTGCAGTCAAGCCACTGTGTCACCCAGACCACTGGGCGGAGCTCTTTGTATAGAGTCAATGGCAACATATTGTTCACACTTGTGTAGTGAGCTAGCCAACTAGGGCCAGATGAGAATCCTGGCTGCAGGAACTTTCATTTTATCCACAACATACAAGAACTATTGTGTTCAGAGGTTCACTAGGGAAGATTGCCCACTGGGGTGTCACTGGCTCTTTAGCACAATTCTAGTTTCACTTTTGTGAAAAGAAAGTACTTCTGGGAAAAGACATCTGTGGGTGACTAATCTCAACAATATACTTATATAACAGCAATTTTACAAGTAGAATTTGAAATTAAAACAAAAAAACATTTACATTAACACCCTTCAAAAATAATAGGTGTAAATCTAACAAAGCATGTACCAGACCTATACAAGGAGAGCTACAAATCTGAGGTAAGAGATCAAAGAAGTAACTAATTAACTCACCAAACAAATAAGATCCAATGGTATACTGTTTATAAGAGACCCACTTTATATTTAAGGACACACATAAGCTGAAGGTGAAGGAATAGAAAAGATATTCCACTCAAATGGAAAGTAAATGAGAATAAATGTGTATGTATATATCTAAGCAGAGACACATAAGCATAAATCATCAAAAAATCCAGTGCCCATATAGATTTCAGCCCCAGGCAATTTCGCTATGGATTCAGTGTGACCAAAGAAATCAACAGAAAAACGTTCTTGGGGTGAAAGGGTTTATTACCCGGCTTGTTCTCTAGTGGTAGATCGAGCACTAGCGTCTCTGCCTCCACTTAGAGCATTGGGTCTAGCTCTCTATATAGCACAATAGCTTTTTGCCTACAGGTGTGGAAGTGGCAGCTCAGCAACAGGCCAGTTACATCATCAGGTGGTTTAAGTTCAGTGAGGACCCTGACCATAGGAACCCCAGCATCTCCACACTATATATCAAAAAAGATTTTAAATCAAAAACTATCTAAGGAAACAAAGAAGTGAAATTTTACCTTGCAGGGTAACAGGCACAGGTGATTCTTATTTTTCAGAGAATGGCTAGAAACCAAGACTCTGTCAAGCCCTCCTTAGATGTCTACTACATCCAGGTGAAATTGGTCAAGCTATATAGAGCATGTGCAAGGATAGATTCATTAGTTGGTCATTGAACATTTTGATGAGAAAAGGCATCCCAAATCAGCATGCAACTAATTACCTACCACATAAAACCTGTCCGAGAACAGGATCAGATGATGTAGAAATCAGTGTGGGATAGAGAAACTTGAGTAGGAATTGCCTGACCCTCAAACCAATCCCACTTCACTGTGCTCCTTAAAAGCCTCTCTTGCTGATAAGTAGGGAGACAGATTTGAGCTAGCCTCCTTGCCAAACCACCTTGTAATAAAGCATTTTGCTTTTGAAAAAACTGGTGTCCCATGTTTGGCCTATAGTGTGCCTCAGGCAGCAGACCCTTGTTCAGTCACAGACTTTGGTGGGTCTCTAAGGTCCTTGTGACCATTTTCCCAAAGCATGGTGGCTCCCAAATGGTCTCAGGTCCTCATGACTGGACCTAGTGCCCAGACCTTTTGTTCAGAGGTTCAATAGGGAGGATTGTCCACTGCAATGTCATTGACTCTTTAGCACATTTCTAATTTCACTTTTGTGAAAAGAAACCATGTCAGGGAAAAGATATCTCTGGGTGAGCAATCTTAATTAAAGTGACTAGTGTCCTCTCTGGTTTGGCTTCCAATAAAATGGAGTTCTATGGAGGTCCTCTAGTAGAATCTCTCTGCAGGGGGAAATCCTGAATTAGTTGAGGAATATAAAGGATGCCATTTGAAATTACTCCTATTTACTGGTCTGGTAATTCTGGAGCTGTTTTGATAACTAATTAATTGTTCTGTTTGGTTGTAGGTGTGTTACGGTGTCTTGCCAATGGGTTTCAGCCCTGTGCAAGTTCACTGTGGATCCAGTGAGACCAAAGAATGACAATGGAACATTCTTGGGTTGACAGGGTTTATATCCAACTTTGTTCCCATGCTGGCAGGTCAATCACTAGAATCCCGTTCACTCAGAATGAGTCTGCATGCAGCTAGCTGGCCTCTGCCTCTGGGCCTCTCTACCAACACAGTCATCTTAGTCTCTGTCCTTGGCCCTGCCACCACTCCAGTCTCTGATCTCCTGCAGCCACGTGGTCATGCCACCATGTCATGCAGAGCACTGGGTGGAGTTCTTTATATACAGTCAATAGCAACATATTGCCCATATGTGTGTAGTGAGCTGCCAACCAGGGCCAGGTGAGAATCCTGGCCACAGGAACCTTCACTTTATCCACAAATGGTTTACTTGATTTTAAAATGGAGAATACTAGCTCCAGCCCCTTGGGTAGTCTCCTAGCATGCCTCGTTCAAAATTTGACAATGTTCAGCTATGAGCCCATGAATAAGAAAGAGAGGATATATTTTTTTAACTGCCTGGCCACAGTACTCCCTGGAGTTGGGACAGCAATGGCCTAAAAACAGCTCAATAAATTATGATCTTGTAACTAGGTTTGCTTTATAAAAGAGAGGAGAAATGGGATGAAATATTTTATGTTCAGTCCTATATGTCTCTGTAAGAATATGCAAAAGAAATGTAAGATACTGGTTCAGAAGAAGAGCCTCAAAAGAAACAGATTTTGCCTGACTCCAATGATAAGGAAGATGATTATTAATTCAGTTGAATACCCCTACTTCTCATCCACTTATATGTAAGCACCAGGGCTATCACTCCACTCCCCACGTGTCTCAGGCTCTGGCCCCAGATTTATCAGGAATGATCTCCTTGTCATATCCATCAGGGTACACAATTTGGCCAGGGTGTCACCCAAACTCAGGACAATTGCCTTTAAAGAGCAGATGCTAATTGACAGCCGCAAGGCCTCATCTACATTCATTCCCATTTTCCCCTAACAACCCTGTCATAGCTGCTGCAGCTGTAACTCTACTATTGGCTAATCTGGGCTGGAGTCCTAACAATATAGGAGACAGAAATAAAAGTGAGCATGGCAATGTGTCTTGCCAATAGGTTTCAGCCCCGGGTAAGTTTACTATGGATTCAATGTGACCAAAGAAATTGACAGCAAAATGTTCTTGGGGTGAAAGGGTTATATCCAACTTTATTTCCACACTGGCAGGTCAGTCACTAAAATCTCATTCACTCAGAGTGAGTCTGCACACAGCAAGCCAGTCTCTGCCTCTGGGCCCCTCTGTCTTATATATATAAGCAGAGACACATAAGCATAAATCATCAAAAAATCCAGTGCCTATATGTTTTGCTGATAGATTTCAGCCCCAGGCAAGTTCGCTATGGATTCAGTGTGACCAAAGAAATCAACAGCAAAACGTTCTTGGGGTGAAAGGGTTTATTACCTGGCTTGTTCTGTAAGAATAGAAATCAGTTAGCATAAGAGTAGCCATCTTAGGGTCTAGAAGCCATTTTATTTAGGAAGAAAAAAAACTGGGACTGGGTAAGGCTTTGAAAAACAAGCTAATCATGAACACCGGGTGGTGGGCAGCTGTGATCCTTGGTCAGCTAAATCATACATACCAAGCTTACCGTGCGGAACCGCCCTAACAATGGAGGAGTAGAGGAGTGGTCTTATCTTGCCCTTGCTTAACCCCAGGATGTATGTCTTGTAAGAATAACGTGTAGCTGTGGAAAATTACTATGAGTTAAGTGTTTTGAAAATGCTATATAAACCCTTGGCTTTGAGTGCTCGGGGTCCTTGTTGAAACCCGCTGTGTCAGGCAGACACTTGGACCCCAGCTAGCTGGAACAATAAACCTCTTGCTTGTTGCATCCATCTGCCATGGCCTTTGTCTCCTCACTGGGGGGGAAGCGCAGACTGGAATAAGGCCAGTAGGTCTTACAGTTTCAGGAAGAGAGGACTATTGAAGCAATGCCATTTACAGTTGTCTAAAGAAAGATCTAATCTATGAATATTTTTAAAGAGAAAACAATGTTCTTCACTAGAATATCTCAAAGGAGACGCATATAAGGTGGGAATGATGTTTCTCCTTGAAACACTACCTTTAGCTTTACAATGAGGTGTTTTGATTTTGATCTCTATCTTTTCGACTCCTGTTTCAAATCTTTGACTTGCAGTAAAACAGGAAATACAATAAACAAAAGCTGAATAATTAGTTTCCTATTAATCTAATTAAGTTGGATGGCTTTATTGCTATTTGTATATATGCTGTATGTGAATACTGAAGCCATACACAGTGTTCTGGGTCCTTTTTTCAGAAAGTGATGTTGTTACCAAACCCAACGTAGAGCTGCTGATGAGGTAATGGCAGAAGTAGAAACACTGAAGTGACTGCACCCACCAGTGACCTCAGAATGCTCTGTTTAAAGTTGCACATGTGTTAACAATCCTCTAGGCCCATGTTTGGCACTCTCTGAGCATAATGTCACTGTTTTGCTTGCTACTTATATTTTTCATATTTCTAAGTCATTTATATAGAATCACATGAATCTGATTACATGTTTACTTCAGATGTTTAAAATATTC